AACAGTGACTCAGAAAGAGCACAGATTTTACAAGAAATGCCTGTTTTACGTATGCAATAAAGATGTTTTTCCTTTTCTGGAAACGGCCACTCCTGTTCCCATAGTGCATAAGCCAACAGGCTAGATGACGTGTCCAGTTCTGGGCTCCCCAGGACAAGAGAGACATGGCGCTACTGGAGGGAGTCCAGCGGAGGGCTCCAAAGATGATGAGGGGACTGGAGCATCTCTCCTATGAAGAAAGGCTGAGAGAGTTGGGCCTGTTCAGCCTGGAGAAGAGAAGACTGAGAGGCGATCTCATCAATGTGTACAAGTATCTGAAGGGAGGGTGTCAAGAGGATGAGGCCAGTCTCTTCTCCGTGGTGCCCAGTGACAGGACAAGAGGCAACGGGCACAAACTGAACCACAGGCAGTTCCAACTGAACCTGAGGAAAAGCTTCTATCCTGGGAGGGTGACAGAGCATTGGCACAGGCTGTCCAAAGAGGTTGTGGCGTCTCTTTTCCTGGAGATACTCAACAGCCATCTGGACAGGGCCCTGTGCAACATGCTGTAGGTGACCCTGCTTGAGCAGAGGGGTTGGACTAGATGATCTCCAGAGGCCCCTTTCCAACCTCAACCATTCTGTGATTCTGTGAACCATAAATGGAGATGTAAGCAGGCAGTGGCAGTTAACAAAAATAAAACCCAAACGAATTCCTCCCCTCCAGCCACAATCTGAGCTTTAATTACATTACAAAGAGAGATTTGGAACAGTTGTGTCAAAAGCACTCAGCTAAAGCTTCCTAGACCAGGTATCACTTACTGTTTAAGAAGAACGTGTGTGTTTTTTTCATCAATCACAATCACTATTTATTTTCCTGTAGTCTAATCTCCTTCAAAATTCCTGAAAGTTACTCAGAGCTGAGGCTTTAAAACATACTTCTGTCCCATAAATGCAAAGTTCCTTGTGATCACATACAACACAGGGCAATTTTCTCCTTACTCCAGTGGCCCCAGATTTAGGTTCAGCCAGTGTTTTCCCACTTCTAGTGGCCCAGATTTTTACCATAAGGGGTTAATCATCTTGAGGTATATCACTTCCTACTGTAAGTCACACCTGCTCCTTCTCCCTATGACTTCATATCATCTGAGGACCTGCCCACATACTTCAGTCAATGAAACTTAGCTGAAGTCAGGAAAGGTATTAGTAAATTGTTGCAAGGCACAACATTTTTTGACACAAATTGAACCTATAAGAAAAGAGTCATCCAGTAAGCACACATCTGCTGAAACATGTTAGTGGTCAAGAGCTTGTAGGTAGGACTGAATTGGACCACTGCTCAAGTCTACTGAGCCTCAGGATAACAAATACCTACGGGGGAACTAAAAGTTCCTTTTCCTCTTAGTGACTTCCATTACTATTATTCTTTAACTACTTCTCTGAGGGCAAGATAACAATTTTTTTTTTTAATTTTTCCATCATAACATAGTCACACAACCGTAATATTTCAGCCTTGCAGCCAGTTATAGGTATTTTATAAGTCATTAGCAATGATCAAACAATCAAATCTGCAGACTGCTAAAAATCTTAGCAGAACTGTAAACTCCTGTTCCTACGTTCTTTAATCTTCTCTTTGACATGCTAAATAAACCAAAGCTTGATCTTTCATTTCCAGGTATGGCTCTTCTCAACTGAAGGAAAAAAAAAAAAAAACATAGGCATAAATAAGTATATTAAAATTGTAGGAGAGGTCAGCTGTTGACACAAGACAATATGCCAATTGCAGTCAGAATAATAGCAAGTGCACAGAGTATAGTCTTTTTATTCCTATGAACACGTTAAAAAAAAATCTAAAGATCTCATTAGCCATAAATATTTGCTGACATAGCTCGTGCTCAATTATCCAATGTGACTTCTTTTTCCCTTCCTACCAAGCTCTTTTCTGTCACTTTTCACAGGAAAGGAGTTGTTCCTGCAAACGTAACCAGCACTTTCTAAACTTACAACTTTGCACTAGAAAATACCAAAATCAGAACTTGTGTTTTTTATTCCCAGTTTAGCTAGTGATACAGATCCCCTGCTGTTTAAATGCTTTCCCCACCACTGAATCATCTGTAAATTTTGTCAATAACTATAGTATTTTCCTTTAGTTCTCTGATGCTCAACAGCCTCAGGAGTTAAGCTCTGTGAGTACCCCCCAAAACATGCATGTTCAATGCTTAAAATTGTATTTTGCTATTTATGAAACATTTGCAACCCCCCCCCCCACCACCACCACGGCTCATACTAAACTGTTAAGTGTCATGCCGTACCAAATGAAGTGCCTTCATGGCCAGAGTAAATACATTTTTGGTATGTACACTGCAAAGACTGTTTCAGCTACAAGTAGCAAATACAAAATAATTAATAAACACTGCTTTCATAGTAAATGAAACTCACAGTAGACAATTATTCAATAAAATACATTTACTTATGCACACAGTGTAAAGACGTATGTAACAAGTATTACGTTGTACAAGGAACAGAACTGGATTTATTAGTTCATTAAAGTTTCTAAATTCACTTCAAGTGGGAGTCTTCCTGAGCTTAAGAGGTATATGTTACAACTGTACATGATGCCTAATGTTTTAACAGTGTTATCAGGGAAAAAAAAAAGAAGACTTGGACATAGATATTAAACAGAAGAAGGGCTCAACAGTATGTGCTCAGAGCTATTAGACAAAGGCATCATTGTACTAATGTGACTGCTACAAGATCATGACCAGTATCATAGGTAAGAGTAAATATTAAAAAAAGGAGGGGAGGGGAGCATTGGGTTTGGGGGCAGAAGACACAGAAGACATTGGACACAATTTGAAGCAAATACAAACACCACGATTTAGGAATGTTGTATGAAGACAATTAGATCTGGATGCGTGCCTGGGGTATTTCTGATTAGTTAAAAAAAAAGAGAAAAAAGAAATATATGAAGCACCAGCAAGAAAGGTGACAACAACTGGTATTTAAACATGCCTACTCAACAAGAAAGCACGACGAAGTCTCTAACAGTCACCTAGGCAATCAAAAAATTCACCCAAAAACATGTGATGCAAAAGTTTTCCAAAACATGGCAGCAGGATACGCTGTGGCCTGATTCAGCCATCACTGAAGTTGATGGTGAATTTTTCTACCTTAGATTGCAGATGAACTCTTATAATAGAAGCCCAATAAGACTGAGATTAGTTTCATGTTATCAAAATTTATAAACAAATCATGCCTAGTCTAGGTTGGGTTGAAATGCAGCTGTCAATTTTAAGAGTAATTGGACACCAAAACCCTCAGAGAGCTTTTCAATCTTGTTTTAGAGCAAAGAGACAGAATCATCTACAATCATAAACCTGACAAACTTCCTGAAAGGATCAGCAAAAAGGCAGTGAACAAAAAACTCGAGCAGAAAAAACAGGTTCAGTGTAACAGAACTGATAACTCCAAACCCAGACCATCAAAATGAAGAAGAAAGGTTGCCTGTATTTTTATGTCCTGTTGTATTTCTAGCTGGACTGTAAAATCTCCTCTCCCCCTAAACTAACATGAATAGAAAATAAATGCTGTTATTTGCTTTATTGTGTAGTTCTCTTGTTCTAGCAGGTGCTGTTAGCTATTACACGTTAAATATTAAGACACGTAAAAGGTTTTAGAGATATATCGTAACGATCCTTACCTGAAACAACTCACACTAAGAAGGACATTAAAAAAATTGTCACGTTCTGATCAAAAATACTTTTAATAGAGGTTTTAAAATACACGTAGGAACATTAGACATAAATTAATAATGCAAAAAATTAAATCTCAGAAGTCAGGTGGATAGTTATCTCAGTGGCACCAGTCTGCTCAGACCTCACAATCTCTTTTTTTCAGCCTCAAATTTACCCCAAACCTCCCAACTGTTTTACTTTAGCACACGCAAACTTCACCTCCTTCAGACAGCCACCATAAAAATTCCATACTTGGCCCAAACTTACTTCTCTTCTGAGGTTTCTGTTTTCTGTCAGGATTCTTTGCAATACTCTCGCTGGTATTTCTAGTACAGAATAAATTAATATTTCATATTATATTTCATATAATAATGTTTCATTGACTCCACACCTTTAAACGTTAAGCTGCATAGAGTGCATCATCGTCTTGATATTTCGTGACTTATTCTCCATCTTTCCCCTCTGGAATTCCTGGAAGTGAGGTTTGGATTCTGTAAGATATGCACATGGATGACATATTTGGGTACTGTTTCTCAGGAATTCATCCTCTGCTTTCTTCTAAAGCACTTTTGATATTATTCCCTCATACACAACTCCTCAGGAGACGTATGCAACTCCCAACTTTGGAGAATCTTTTTTTCTACAGGACAGCATCCACACAAGCCATAATGCCAAAACAGTGTGACCTCATTCTCTCCTGCCTAGAAATAAGAAGGCAGCACAAAATTAAATGTTTGGTACTGAATAGCATGGGTACTAAATAGCATGAACGTGTAAAATTACTATGATCTTCTCAGCCTAGTTCTGAATGGCCAGATCTCAGATATTCACCACTTTGTCTCTCTCAATATGATTTGGCTATAAACTTGTGACCTAATGGTAAAAGGTTTTCTCTCTCTTACAGAGCAACTCTTCAACTCTATGCCCAAGCAAAGCGAGTTAGGGAACAGAGTAATGTGACCACTACTTTCACGCACTCACTCTGAACAACATCAAAGACACCCCCACCAAAATAAATAAAATGGGCAATTTACACTGAACGCAGTGTTTCCCCCACAGTTAAAATAGTATGTCCTACCACAGATCAATACACAAAGCCTCTAGTTAATATGCGCCTTAACCTAAAATTCTTCACAGGGCTTTCTCAAGCTTATTATTTTGGAAAATAAATTCATTAACTACGTAACAGTCATGCCATATTACATAAAAAAAATTTCAGATGGCCCTTTTGTATCACTAGTTTAGTGCATCAGAACCAATACC